TACGTTGTCACTTACCATTTGTTTAAGAATCGTAGGCCAACCACATTATTCCAAAATTTCTTGAAGACTAAAAGCGTCATTTTTTCAATTTACGTTACTTCATAAATTTTTTAAAAAATCATCATAAAAGCATTTTTATGTTAATAATTTGTTTTCAGTAAGTCGCATTAATAACAATAATTTTCATAAAATATTCCTACAGAAAGCCTCATACAATCACAGTAGGATAATAACTAATGATCGAGGAGTTCTATTTTACAATTTCTTCTTTTATTGAGTTAATGACATATAATCAATATTCACCGTCCTCAAAATTTACGCTTTTTATTTTATGACTCACGGAAAGACTTTAATATATATATATATATATATATATATATATATATATATATATATATATATATACACACACACACACAAACCTAGTGCTCTGATACTACCTTGTCACGATCCAAAAATCACAAGTCGTGATGGCACCTAACTCAACCTGCTAGGTAAGCCAACTAACAGAAAATGCAACTCAACTGAGATTATAAGTAAATAGAGAATAGATAACTGAATATTTACAAATTTACCCAAGAATTGGTAGTACGGCTCATGAGCTTCTAAGACTTAGAATTTGTAAAACAGATATAAATAATTACACGTTCTGTTTGAAAGCCACATAAAAAGACTAGCAAAACCAAAGCTACCAAGGACAAGTGGCAGGTATATCCGAAAAGCACGAACATCTTCAAAGTCAGCACCTGACATCACCAGCGGCTCCGCTCCAAAAATTTATACGCAATATACAGAAGTGTAGTGTCAGTACAACCCATCCCATGTACTGGTAAGTATCTTGTCTAACCTCGTTGAAGTAGTGACGAGGCTTTTATTTAAAAGATGCTTATTGTTATAACCTGTATATTAGATTAACAGTATAGGAAGTTCAAAACATAACAAATAAGAGTACCGTATACAACTCTACGAGATAGTCAACAATTACTAGAAGGAATCACAGTAGAAGAATTTCAATCTTACCTGGTATGAGAAGTATATCCAAGATTTTCATGTCAAATGGTACGGCAACACCCTTCGTGCTTCTATATATTCCTCACCCATATATGAATAATTTATGTGTCAAATCAATTAGCACGGCAACACCCTTCGTACGTCCAACTCATCCTTCCAAATGTACGTATAACGGAACCAACCAGATGACAGAAATACCGATAACCGGAATTACAAAAGTAAGAAATACACAAGTAGAAACAATGGACGAGGATATACATGTGGGCAACAATAAAAGACTAGGCGCAAAGCACGTGAGTAATAACAACAATTAGAAAACAAGGAATATCAACTTCAATTAACTAGCATAATGGAGGCCTAAGTACAAATATAACAAATAAGAAGGAAACACATGATCTTTACAAGTTAACAAGTAAGGGCATGAATGACTATCATGGTGGAAGGCTTATACTAAAATGCAACAGAATAGATACGACATGAGTATAATTATAAAAGTAGGAAGTAGGCATGATATTTGCAAGTTAAGCAAGTAAAAGGTATGAGCAAAACAACAACTATCGAGATAGATATCAATGACAGAACAATAGCAACAAGTCACATCAGATCTATAATTATGACAATAACAGTTCAAGGTAAAGACATGAACGTATACACGAAAGACTGATATTAAACATAATGCATGTTCCTCATCCTCGCCTGCACAGAAACACCCATCGTGCCATGACCTCACGATAACATACAAGCATAACAATATAAATGAAATGGCACGGAATCACCCTTCGTACTTTTACTCTCAAATGATATGGCACGACATCACCTTTCGTGCTCTTACTCTCGATATGTGGCACGACATCACCCTTCGTGCTTTTACTCTCAATAATGTGGCACGACATCACCCTTCGTGCTTTACACTCTCCCTGACACGATAATGTATAAACAGTGGCACGACATCACCCTTCGTGCTACACTCTTCCTTACCAAGCATATGAATTTCAATGACAAACAGGCAGGAAAGGATAAATAACATCAAGAAGGGTGTTTTAACGGATATTCCAAACAAGTCTCAGTCACAACTTTCCGAGTCAACAATGATTCAACAATCCTCAAGAACCGTATTATTCAAATACTTCCACAAATCTCACAATTGATCCACAACACAAGTATAGAGTCTAGTATCTCAAGAATATCAGCCGTAGTAATGATTTCGCATAGAGATGACCGAATTAGACATGTCAATGTATACTCAGAATTTCCGTCAAATTTGATCAAGTTATAATAAGACAAGTCTTGATTTCTAACATTTAATACTATGTTTTTTTAGTATATAAGAGTCAAGTAAAGCATGAAACGGGAAGGCCACGAAATTCCATAAACACAATTGTAACGTAATCCACCCCCTGAGCATGATTAACCCTGGCACATATATATACGCTCGTCACCTCATATATGTATCACCCCCGCATGTAGCAAACAATGAAAAATAGGAGGAAAAATTCTCTCAACAAAGTTCGGCAAAATACTTACCTCAATTCGGCTAACTCAACACTCAATTTAGCCTTTTTCCTTTAGTAATTCGCCTCCGCTCGGCTCAATCTAGCCCACGACGACTTGAACATATCTCACAATGCAAGAGAAAATAATTTCAATTAATAAAGCTGTGATTTTTATTAGATTTCTAAAAAGTCAACAAAAGTCAAACCCCGAGCCCGCCCGGTCAAAACCCGGGTCCAAGGGTAGGTCTTGACTACCCATAGCCTCACGAGTCCAAATATGTGTTTTGTTTTCAAATCCGAGTCCTATTTGACTCCCAAATCCCAAACTTTTATTTTTCTAAACTTTGACAAAATCCCCAAATTTTTCCATAGGTTTCTCATGAATTTGATGTTAAATCTTATATAAAATCATGAAATATAGTTGAGAAATGATTAAAGATACTTGTCCAATGATTTAGTATGAAAATCCCTTCACAAAATCGCCTCTCACGAAGCTAGGGTTCAAAATATATGAAAAATGAAGCTATCACTCGGAATTCTCTGCACTTAACAGGCTGCAGATGACGCATTTGCGACATGCCGCAATTGCGCACAACTTATCGCAAATGCGAAGATTTGGAATCTCTGCTGCCTTCGCAAATGCGACCAATAGTCCACTCCCGGTCAAACTTCCGAAATCGGAATCCGACCCCGATATCAAAAAGTCCACTCCCGGTCAAACTTCCCAAAAATCCAACTTTCGCCAATTCAAGACTAATTCGACTACGGACCTCCAAATTACAATCCGGACGCTAAAGATTCTTGGTGTGATGAGTTAGGAGAATTGCTTAAAAAGATCGTGTCTATAAGTGTAGTTTGATTGCTCGAGGACGAGCAACGTTTAAGTATGGGGTATTGATGTGTGGCTATAATTCATGGTTTAACACATTATGTGACTTGCATTTTACATGCTTTAATGATAAATTACACTTTATTTGCGCGTAATGGAGTCTATTTTATGTGTAGGTGAATTGGAGATGAAAGTAGAGCAAAAGAGATACTTAAACGTTGAAAGTGTGCTCGAGAACAGTGAAAAGGAGAGGCCAGGCAAAGGCCTGCTCAACCAGGCTTTAGCCTGGCGAGGCCAGCCAAAGACCAGGCTAAACCAGGCTTTAGCCTGGCGAGCCAGCCAAAGGCCAGGCTGAACCAGGCTTTAGCCTGGCGAGGCCAGCCAAAGGCCAGGCTGAGGCTGGTGACGCAAGGCCTGGGGCCAGGTCCAGTCTGAGTTTTGAAGGCTTATTTTGTATCCTAGTTTGACTAGGACTTGGCCTACACGTTTAGGTCTTTTCCTACACATATAAACAGACCTAAAAATGCCACTTTTGGAGGGAGATCGAGTTTGGATACAACTTAAGACATAGGGAGAGCACGGAGCCGCCGTGGAGACCGGAGATTCGACCTAAGGAGGCAAGAACACACTAGGAGCAAGGCGGAGAATTCTTCTACGAGTTTTTCACTTCCTTCTTCCTATTTTCATTATTGGTTATGAATTCTAGTAATGTAGTTTTGCCATACTATTATGAATAGCTAATTTGTTATCTAGGATTTTGATGGAACCTTTTGGAGGATGATTTTCATGTTATGTTAATATAGATTTGCTGTAGTATTTTCTCTATTTGTTCAACTACGTTATTATTGTGGTTGGTTGAAGAGCTCTCAATCGACTGTGCCTATTTAGTATGTATTACTTGGGAGATAGTACATATTTAGGTAGTTGTTTAACAACATCACTTCTAATGTATATGAGGGATCAATACGGTGGATTTAAAGGTGAGATTAGGGATAAAAAAACCTTGGTGCGATCCGAGTGAGCCATACTTAATGCCAGCTAGCGTAATTCGGGAGAATATGTCTAGTAAATTGTGGTAATTATTCGGGAGAGAGTTACGACAGTCAGTGTGCTCATGATCGGTAGAGAAGACTTAGGCAAATTTATAGAAAACGTATCGGGAAGGATTCCGACAATAGGGAAAATCATACTCTAGACCTCCTTAATCTTGTCTCCAACCCTTAGTATCTCTAGTTGTTAATCTACTAATTTAATTTGTTAGTTAATTAGATAAAAGAATCTTAATATTTATAACATAGAAATTATTCAAGCTTGTCTTCTTAGCAATATTGAACAGTTGTAGCTAAGCCTTAGTTCTTTGTGTGATTCGACTCCGGACTTGTAAACCGGATTATATTTGCAACAAACTCTTAGTCCTTTTAATGAGGTATAGTTGGGCGTGATCAGTTGGCCTATGGATGTTTGTGTGGCTTCTCCCAATTTGTTTCTGTAACAAACACTACAAGAAAATAGGCTTTTAGAGACTATTTCTTAACGAAGGGATATGAACCCGGTCGTAATAAGTGTATCTATAACGACCCAATTTTTTTCCCGTCGTTAAATGCCAATTTTAGTTCCATATTACCAATGGGATACTATTCAGCCCTTAGAAGGCTTAATACCCGGTCGTAATTATCAATAAGGCGCCACTTTTTCCCTCTTTATTTTTCACAACCCACGTCTCTCAGCCCGCCTCCCACTCCGAAAAAAATACTGAAAACCCTCAATCTTCTCTCTGTTTTGATTGCAAAACAAATTCGTACTAATGGCAAAATCTTCAGAGTTGTGTTAAAAGAACTTCCGCCTTATCTCGTTACTGCTCACTATCACCTGATCGTCTGCAGGTCTGGTCATTTTCGCCCATGACAGATAAAGAAAATACATCATTCGCATAGTTTTCTTCTCATCAATGTAAGTTTTTGGTTTTGTAACTATTAATTGCACTTATTAATTGTGAATTTTCTTCTCATCAATGTAAGCTTCTTCTTTTGTACTATTAATTGCACTTTTGTAACTATTAATTGCAGTTGTGGAATGCCGATTTCTCCCCAGTCATGGGTTTACATTGTATCTAGGGTTCTTTTTCCTTGCTGTGGTATCTGTAAATTTAATTTTGGACTAATGATTATAGCTATGTTAACATTTTTTTGGACTATTTTGCATGTACTGATGTGAGCACATCTATTAGTAGCTTTGATTGAAATTAAAAAGTGGTGAGATGATGCTGATTATTGAATACACTCGTCAATATGATAATTCTGAGGATAGATTGATTTGGAAGTGAGTTTTAGTACACCATGATTATACATATTTTTGTTTTGGATAGGTAAAGGAGTGTAGTCATAGTCTTCTATGTGGGATCTTTTTATTTGAAGAAACAAACTATTTATTCTCATACTGGGTGAATTCTAGATATCATAAAGTAGCTAAATGATACGATGGTGTAAAATAGAAATTTTTTGAAAGAAGAGTCCTAATATTTTTTTGACTTTCTGATCTATTGTCTCCTAGTAGGTATCTAAGAGTAAGAGAAAGGAGAAGCAAAAATCTATGAAGATAAAGGACAAGCAAAATTACAGAAACCACTTTCGTGTTTCATATTTTCTTTACACTGTTTTTTCAGAATTGCTTAGGCAAGAAAAATAGTATTTTATATTTTTTTGAGCTTCTGAAAAGCTTAAGCACAAATATGCCATATCGTCTCAACCAATTGTCATAGGATCAAGTAAAAGGTGCAATAATTAACGGAAAGATGTAATTTTTCCAAGTCTGGCAATTTTTCTTAATGCACCAAAGCTCCCTTACTCAAAGTTGTCTGTTAAACAATTAGTAAGTGGCTTTCATTTGATAATTTCTGAGACAATTTATAAATCTGTAGTAGAGCCAATTTATAGGAGCATACTTTATGTGGATTTGTTCCAATAATCTCTCTGTTTGCTAAATATATATGGACAAACTTATTGTGGTTTTTTTTAAAACTCAAACAATACTTTGCATATCCGGAATTGATTCCACTGAAGTCAATATGATAATTGACAACATGTAGAAACAGGCTATTCTTTCAAGTAGTACTAATATACATTGGGTTTTTGACATCAGCTAATGATATCATCTAGGGGAGCTTTGTTGGAAGAGATTGAGACATTGGTCCATAGACACAAGCAAGCTCTCTGTAGGTTCTCCCCTATCCACTATATTTTCTAACTTTTTTCCTGGAAAATTAAAACTACACAAGCATGCTCACCTCTAAACATCGCATCTTTATTCATGTTTATGCAGATCGAGACATTTACTAGTTAAAACAGAGGGTATCGTGCAGAGACGACTGTAGTTACTTATTGCCGGAATAGGAAAGACTGCGTTGACAAGTCAAAGCTCAGAATCCTTCCTGTAAGTTTACTTTCTCTGGTCCATTATTTGCTTCGTCATGTTCAATAAAATGGAAATATATGGTATAATATCTCTCCTGGGCACTGCTTATGACATTTTTCCTTATAAAGATGGTAGCCTTGTGAGGAAAAAGAAGAGAGGGGAAATAGATGGTTTCTACTTTCTAGTTTTATTTCTAAAAACGACTTTGGGTTAGTCTTTAGAGCTAGAAAATTCAGATTGGTCATTGCTGGTGTTTTTGATAGTTAAATTGCTAGTATTCAAGAGTTCTGGGCAGCATGGGAGGGAGCTCATAACTACGTAGCTTGCATTGCAGATTCTTTCCATTTTAAGTGAAGAGGAATTCTTATCCAGTACATATCCACTTAATTTGAATAACACGCTTGCTAAGTTTGTCATAAAGGTAAAATCCCAAATTCCTCGGAGTTAAATAATGTGGTAAATCGAATGCATATTTATAATCTACATTGAAGTTGTAATGATCAGAATATTGAACCCTTTAAGTTGAACATGATCTCTATTTGCTTCATCCCCTTTTCAAAATTATTACTTAATCTTGAGGTTCTTTCATTGTGAACACCTGCTGATGTTGCTGTGATTTGTGCCCCTCCGCCCCCAATTTACTGAGTCGTTTTGGCTAGGAAATTCTCAACTACCTTTACTAAATATTCCGATCAATATAAAGGATTTCTTATTGGCAAAGACAGATTGACCTTTCACACAGGCTCGTAAAGAGAGCTTGTTATAGCATCATTGATTTTCCTGTTTTGCCCAACACCGGTAAGTATCTTTCTAAAATTAATTTACTGCAGATTGTATGGGTGTAAGAGAAATCTAGGTGAAACTCGGTAAAGTAATACATGGTCAGATTCTGAAGAAAGATATAGCATATGCACCTTTCACTTCTTCAGAACTTGTGAAGATATATAGGAGTTGTGGTGCACTTGAGCCACGTCTCCTCATTCTCAGTGATCCTAGTACTGATCACCAAGTTGATGCTTATTTAGTTATTTCCAAGGTATTTATAACTATCTCCCTTTTGAGTTGCCAATGATTTACAACCTATTTGAATACTTTTGCAGCCTACAAGGAAGCTGCACAAGGAAACCTTGACATCAAATCCTGAGATATTATCTTTTTCATTTCTCCCCATATTTCCCCCTTAAATCCTAAGAGGCTTTTGCATCTTCCTGGTTTCCTCCTAAGCATTATCGACTGGTCGAATAATTCATAACTGACATTTGCTTCTCTTTTTCTTTTCTTTAACCAGGAATTGATTACTTGTTGGTTGCTGCATTTGATGATTTTCTTACTTCAATTTTGGCGCTCAAAAAAGTTGTTTAGAACTGGCATGTTTCATGTTCTTGTTTTAACAAATTTTAGCCATTGAATTAATCTCCAAATGCTGCTGGATAAGAGATTGTGTATTCTAATCAGTCCTGTTAAGTTGTGCATAGAAATTTCTGCTTATTGTCTCATGTTTTGGCCTTTTTTTTTGTGGTGGCTTGGCTACTGAATTTGCAGTCTTCTTGACCTCTGAGTGAATGTATTAGGAACTGGTACCTACCTTGAATGCAACTTGTATTATGGCGGAACTAACATCACTGGTAACTCCGTAGTGTTTCTACCAATTACTAATTTGTTTTAATGTTTGTTACTCTGGAACTAGTATATCCTTAAATAAGTGATAGAAATAGTAGTTTTTCTTATGTTCACATCCCGTGTCTTCTATCTTTTTGACTGGTGAAACTGGAATTGTAAAGTACTTTGGTTTTGGCTTTCTCTACAAAGAAGGTTGTTTGCAAGTGCTCGGGGAGCTACTTTGATTTAGGTCTCTCTCTTTTCATGTAGATTATTTGGCTCCTTTCCATTACATCCAATCTATAGTTACTCTCATAGAAGTTGAGCTGGATTACATCTGTCTGGTCCAAGATCCAAAGGTATAAAAAAACTTATTCATGGTGTAGGTTTTTCACTTTATTATATCGCCAAGTTGATGCTATACAATAGGCTTATTGTACCTTTGTTCCTAATATGGATACATGCGGGTGTCTATATGCTTTTCAAGAATTTGAAGTCCTTTTATTAATTTTTTGTATATTGTTTTTTTACAGATCATGAATTATGTCTGAAGAACTTGTCCTGGAAGTAAGTGCTAAGCAAGTATAAGCAATTGAAATGTTAAAAGAACAAGTTGAAGAATTAGAGAGACCTACTGTTGTGTTAGTATTTGTGTAGAAATGTTCTCGTTTGTACATGCCACAATTCTATCTCTTTATTAGGCATTTATTGAAAGATTGTTATGCTTTGGATGGGTATATTTTTTGGTAATGGAATGCTTCTGTATTTGTAATTGACCATAAAATTTTACGATTATTAATTGTTTTATATATTTTGGATGTATTTAAAATTTAATGAATTGGTTGTAATTTCGGCTGTTCATGCAAGAGTGTGACAATTAGTCCATGGAAAACTTCACTGCAAACATCACTTTTAACGAAGGGATTTGTTGTAGTAATAAAAGGGTTTTATATACCAGATTAACAATTAACGAAGGGAAATTTGATCGTTAAAATGAGGCATAACGACCGGATTTTATGTCGCCGCTAAAGACTCTTCAACGTTCGGATTGAAATCTGGTCGTAAACTTTTAACGTCGGGGGCATCAACGGCCGATGATGACCAAAATTTTTACAGATGTTATTGGTTAATAGCGACCGGATCATACTTTTAACGACCATAAATCCCTTCGCTAAAGACCTATTTTCTTGTAGTGAAAGTAGATTATAAAAGTAGAAAGAATAGAGAGTGATTTGGGTCTTAATGTGGTATGGTTACTTTATTGAGTGATACTCCCATTTGTTAGCGTCATCGGCTATGGATGGGGCGTTTGATTTCTTCGTATGCTCGCGGACAATATTAACTTATCAGTTAGTTTTTAGGGCCGAGTTACGCACAAGATTCATTATTTTTATCATTGAATCAGAGTCAAGCCCATCCAATTTTCATTTCATCCGATGTTGGGCTCCCATCTTATATTGTTTACGCTAGGGGTGTCAATGGATATTTAAAAGAGAAATTTTCATAAAGCACTATCTTTTAGTGGTAATTAGCTATCTATAGATACCATTTGCTATATTACGGATTGTAGATACGTTTTCTGTTGTTATAAGATGTATTAGATGTATTTAAGCTACTGTATTCATGAATACAGTAGCAAAAATAGGCGTGAATCGGGGAAGTCCAGCTAATCAGTTGTTGCATTCGAGTGTATTTGACTGTATTCATGGCGTGAAACATGGAATTACAGTTGGACAAATTATTGTATTCAACTGTATTCACGGTGTGAAACAGGGGATTACACCGTTTTTAAACAGAAAGTGAATCAATTAACATAATAGACTCCTAATATAACTCAACAAACTCAATTATAACACACAAATTTTGTATTTTCAGTTATAAAAAAGATTCTCAACCGAAAAATACCCCAAAAACATAGCAAACTTCAGAAAAATTATATAATACATCTGAATGCGTAAATTATATTAATTAAAAAAAAAATATATGAATACATTCATGGCATATAGCGAGACAGTGAATACAATGAAATACATATAATACAGCGGGATACGTTGAAATACAATGAAAAAAAAAGATAGTGAATACAATTAAATACATGGAATACAACAAGATACATTGAATTACAATGAAAAGAAAGACAATGAATACATGAAAATATAGCGTGATACGTTGAAAATACATTGAAATATATTAACAGAAAATCAAGTTGCTCAGCCCCAAACTCCGTCGTCTTTGTTCAAGAACAAACCCTAATTTCCGGCGAATCTGCCGTCGAACAAAAATCCTGAATCTCACTGTTCCCACGTATCAAAATTACAAATTCAACATCAAAATTACAGGCCTTATGTCCCTCTTGTCTCTCATCATCCTTTGTTAGCAGTAACTGTAGAAGTCAATCATATCTTCAACTCTGTACAGCAAATTTCATCATCATCCATCTAAAAAACCCCTAAATCACCAGAGCAAACAACATGAAAAAAAATAATCAAATTGAGTAGCAGAAGGAGCAAGATCCCCTGTTACACAGTTGAATTGGACCCGAAAGAAGGAAGAGACAAATGGTGTGGAATTCACAAACTACTAGTTTTTGGGCATCTAAGTTGGCAAATAAAACGCGAACTCCGACAGGAAATGAGAAAGAATCAAGTTAGAAAACGTAATTTTGATGTGAATTTGTTCTGTTGCAGTTTATGTTATGTGGTAGGTGATGTGGGTGAGAGGAATTTTGAGATTGAGCATCGTGTTTTTAGGGAGTGGGGGAAGAGAATAGCATGTATCAAAGTAGAGAGAGAAAGAAAATAGTGTAATTGAATAGCGTATTTAGTGGCTAGGGGTAGGAGGTAACCAAAATTAGATATTTTGCTATGAACATTAAAAGGTATCTATAGAATATAACATTTTTTAAATGGTATTTATTTAAAATAAATAAGGTGTTAACCTTTGCTATAGGAGGTAAAAATTCCTATTTAAAAATCGACCGAGTCGAACCATACCGAACTAATTTTTAGGTTTTTATAATAAAATCGTAGGTCTTTAAATAAATCTATAACCATACCGATAATTATGGTAGGTTTTTAATTTTGTGAAAAAAAATCGAAAAAAAAAATCAAACCATACCAAATAAATTTCATGTGAAAAATATATTTGTATATTAAGTTTAAAAATAATAATGCCTTAAATTTTTCCTTGGGCCTTGGAATTATGAAAATGGTTATAAGCCAACAAGTAATTAAAACTAAAAATCCCAATTCCCAAACCTATTCTGCAACTCCTATTGAAACTAAATTATTTCCAGCATATTCACTAGCAAGACATAAGATATTATAGCGATTATGAGTAACAAACTACAATGTATTGATTATGTTTCCTTTTATGATTTCGATTTATTTGTTTGAATATTTGATCTTTCATAGACTTATTCTTAAGTCCCAACTTGGTTACTCTTTTCACTCGTGTGATTTATATTTTCTTTATCTTTGCTTAGTTTCTTTTTCGTTGCTGTATAATAGTTGATGAATCTAACTAGATCTAGCCATCTTTCATGTTTTCTTAATTCATCACCCTTTGAACAGTAAAAATATCTAGAGAGTTTTATTAAATCCTATAAAAATACTCTGTTATTGCATTCTACTTCTACTAGTGACTTTTACATGACTTTTAAAAAAAAGAATAAAATTAAGAATAGTAAAAAATAAACTAAACAAAAGTGAGAGAGTTACTACTAGAAAAAATTTAAAAAAAAATAACTACAGAAAAAAGAAAATAAAATAAGAAAAAAATGAATAAGAGTACATAATTTTATTAGAAAGAAAAAACAAAGAGAAAAAAATAACAACAAAATGCGAAAAAAATAAAAAAATAAAAAAGACAAAGAAAAATGTGAAGTAAAAACAATGAGAAGAAGGACAAGGACCATTGGTGAAGCTATGCATACAAAGGAGGGGGCATCCTGATCTTAAAATCTTCAAAAGGGGGCATGTTTTGTCTTTTCTCAAGAATAGGAGCGTTTTAGTCATTAAGTCTTTAAAAGGGGCTCTAAGTGGGCGTTTGGACATAAGAATTGTAAAATCAGAGTTGTATTTGAACATGAATATAATTTGGAGCTGTTTTTAATTTTTATGAGTGATTTAAAGTGAAAAATTTGAGAAACAGTTTTTTGGAGTTTTTAAAATTTCCGAAATATTCGATAACAACTTCAAGTGAATTTTAAAATATTCATGGACAAACACTGATTCCGAAAAAAAGTAATTTGTTTTTGAAAAAAGTGAAAAAATTTGTATTACCAAACGGGCCTTAAGTGTCATTTGTTGTTGATATTTCACTTAATTTTGGGCCATGCCCCATCTAATAGAAGTCTTGGGAGAGGCCGAGAAAGAAAGATTTGAGTAAAAATAGCACGGGTAGCCAGTTTTCGGACATTTAAAAATTGTCAGCGTTTGCAAAGTCAATGAAAAATAGCCACTATTTTGCTGCAACACGGAAAGTTCCAGCAGAATATACTGGAGATCGGTGCACCTGTGTATGAACTTCCAGCATATTATGCTGGAACTCCAACACACGGAAAGTTCCAGTATATTATGCTGGATCGGTATATTATACTGAACGGTGCTCCAATCTCCAGTATATTATGCTGGATCGGTATATTATACTGAATACTGGAGTTCCAGTATACTTATGCTGGAATTCCAGTATATTATACTGGAGTATTTTTCCGGATTTTGAACATTGTTTTCGTTCAGATTTATCTTTACATGAAAAGTGGCTAAATTTTGATTACTTTTGAAACTGTGGCTATTTTAGAATGACCACTTGTAAACCTGGCTATTTTTAAATTTCTCCCAAGATTTGAAGTCTTGTTGTAGGCCCAACAAAACGATCCAATTGGTGAATAAAGTAGAAGAATTAATCAAAGTAGTTGCTTACTCAACTACTTAAATTAAAGGTACGTATACACAAATAGCCGAAAACATTCATTGTTTACTTTTTCTAACTATATTCATGGTTTATATATTGATTATACATAATTATACACATAATACATAATTAGCATATATCATACCTCCACTAGCTATTAGTTTAAGTGGTTGGGTGGTCGGTTATTTGGGTTAATTTTTCTTAAAAAATAGCTGACAGATGTATAATATATGTATAATATAATTCATATATAATATGTGTGTAATCGTATAAAAAAAAGATATATTCTACATATACCGGTTTAAAAATGTAAATAGCGAATCCGACACATTGGGTTTGCCCTACAGACAATTTATTATTTATGTAAATAAATTCCCAATAAAATATCTCCCCTAGAGATACTTTCCCATCAGACATATTGGGTTTGCCCAATAACCAAGACATAACATGATAAATTGTTTTTCGTTAGTGTATATTTTTTTGATTGTGTTGTTTAAGTAAAGAGCATACTCTTTATAACTATTGCTTCAAACATTGTTCTCTTCTATGGACAGTAATCAATATGCTAGTAGACATTCATCTTGATATTTTCCTTTTAGCTTAAATAAAAGAGAAAATCAATAGAATATGCTGGATGTTGTTGTACAATGAAATGTGTCAAATTTTTATGTAAAAAATCATTACAACACTGAATGATTTAATGCACAAACTTAACCATTCCAACCCTCCACGTAGCTTCAACCACCCCACTAAGCAAAAAGCTTCACCTTTTCACATTTCAAGTTCACATGATTCATCCACAACCAAAATCTTATCTAAACCCAAGCCACTAATCAACTCCATAAAACCAAGCATATCTTACACACTTAG